CTTCCGACTCAAATATCAGGCCAAAATCTTCTTGTCTTTGTAAGCAAGTAATTCCAAGAAGAGCACAGTTCATCTTCCGAGACTGGAGTATAAAACCGAATTTTGGTATACATACGCTCACACAGCTTTTTGACTTAAACCTCTATCTTAGAGCGAAAAAAAAAACAGAAAAAAACGGTTAAGTCAACTTTAAAAGATAATTGTCATTACAAATGGCATCTCTGCACAGCACACGGCATATTAACGAATCTTATACCAACTTCGAGCATTTTAGAGTGGAGTGCGAGTAACTAGTAAGTCGATGAATAGATTTCTGCGTTGAGTGTAGTATATTTGTACTAGCATTTTAACGAAATCTTATGTTCTACCTCAGCATCCCAAAGCTAGATGTCGGAACATTAATCAACAAGAACAATCAATGCAAAAACAGAAAAAATCACTAGATCACTCGGTTTTTGTCAGAATGTCTTTTCAGCCGCTAATAGAGATCACTTATAAATCACCGTCCTCCACTGATACTTTCAGCAAAAACTTCCAGCAAACAGACAAAATGCCAGGTGTGACCAAATTCTGCATGGTCAAGATTATGAAACGTTCAGAGAACGTTCGTGCTGACACAGTATTCTATGTGTTAATGATTTCCGATAACTTCACCCGAATGGCGGACTTTATGAACGATGACTATTGCAAGGTGGTAGTTTGGTAATTCGTGCGTAGCTCGGCGCACAATAAGCAAATTCACTCTCTTCATACTACTGCAATTTTTTGAGCTTGCAGGGCCAAAAATTACGATGTCAAATGATTACAGAAGAGAAATGATCTTTATAGAATCTTCATAGAAAGCATCTATAAAAATCAATTAAATTCAGTAAATTGAGGTGTTAGATTGACAGCAGATTTGTAAAGGTCAACCGCACGTTCTAAGTGAGGAGTGGGATTATGTTGTTTAAATACTTAACGAACGGTTGTTTTGCAAGGACGTACCGATTTCCAGCGTAAGGGCAGTAGTGGTATCAATGACAGATCACAAGTTGGCAGACATCATTCTTGTTTTCCTGTTTACTTTTCAAATAAGGTTGTTTTTCATGTGATCCTAAATAATAAGGGAATGTTTTTTTTATGAGATCTTAAATTACCTCTCGTGTCTTAGGTGTCGATACAGCCTTCTTTTTTGTTTTCTGATTTTTCGTTAATTCGACATCCTATTTCTCAGTC